TCAGGTGGCTCCTGTTGGATTCTGGTGGTTTCTTGTGAATCCTAACGGCTGCTGTTGGCTTCTCGCGGCTCCCTGACGGCTCACGAAGGCTCCTGAAGGTTCTTGAAGGTTCCTGAAGGCTCCTGAAGGCTCCTGAAGGTTCTTGAAGGCTCCTGAAGGCTCCTGAAGGTTGTTGAAGGCTCCTGAAGGTTCCTGAAGGTTCTTGAAGGCTCCTGAAGGCTCTTGAAGGTACTTGATGGTTCCTGAAGGTTGTTGAAGGCTCCTGAAGGTTCCTGAAGGTTCTCGAAGGCTCCTGAAGGCTCCTGAAGGCTCTTGAAGGTACTTGATGGTTCCTGAAGGTTCTCGAAGGCTCCTGAAGGTTCCCGAAGGCTCCTGAAGGCTCCTGAAGGCTCTTGAAGGTACTTGATGGTTCCTGAAGGTTTTCGAAGGCTCCTGAAGGTTCCTGAAGGTTCTTGAAGGCTCCTGAAGGCTCTTGAAGGTACTTGATGGTTCCTGAAGGTTCTCGAAGGCTCCTGAAGGTTCCTGAAGGTTCTTGAAGGCTCCTGAAGGCTCTTGAAGGTACTTGATGGTTCCTGAAGGTTCTCGAAGGCTCCTGAAGGTTCCTGAAGGTTCTTGAAGGCTCCTGAAGGCTCTTGAAGGTACTTGATGGTTCCTGAAGGTTCTCGAAGGCTCCTGAAGGTTCCTGAAGGTTCTTGAAGGCTCCTGAAGGCTCTTGAAGGTACTTGATGGTTCCTGAAGGTTCTCGAAGGCTCCTGAAGGTTCCTGAATGTTCCTAAAGGCTTCTGACAGCTTCTGTTGGCTTCTTGGCAGAAGCACAGAGGCCTGTTGGCTTCTTAACAGCTCCTTGCGGCTCACATAGACTTTTTTATGCACTTGGCGTTTCATACCGACTCTTGAGAGATCGTGGCAGATCCTTGTAACTCACGTGGCTCTTGAAGACATTTAGCGGCTCCAAGCGACTCTTGGCAAATTTGGCGCCTTCGTGCAACCTCTCGCGGCTTGTGTCAGGGTCCTGGCGGTCCCTGGCGGTCTCTGGCGGTCCCTGGTGGTCCCTGGTGGCTCCAGAGAGCTCTTGGTGGATTATAATAGGTTTTTGTGGCTTGGCGGCTCCTAGACATTCCTGGCAAGTACTGGCAGCTCATGGAGGTCCCTGGCAGGTCCCTGGCAGGTACTGGAGGTCCCTGGCAAGTACTGGCGGCTCCTGTTGTGGCGCGCTACTTATGGCTCGGTACAAGTGTTGTTACTGTAGGCAACAGACAAGTGTTGCGGCAATAATGTTACTTACGGTCCTCCCATTTTCTCCGGCTAAGTAATGGGTCCAGAATTCCGTTGTTGCAAAATACAGAGATGGAAGTATAACCGCAGACGGATATCCTGTGGTGATATTATATAAATGTATTTTTCCTTCCTGCGAGTTAATTTCACTTCATCTAACCGTAACAATTATATATTCTCCCTTGACACGATTATAGCAAGCATCTAACCCCAGTTACATCAACACAGACATAAACTGTTCAGGATCGTATCATTTTACATGATATATAACAAAGATCTTGCAGTATGACCAGGGTGGGGGGTGGGGAAGTATTGCATCTATCTGGATGGACTCATCTAGGGTCGAGGGTCGAGCGCCGGCTCCATGGCCCGCCTTCCATACAGTTCCCACTTTTTTATCATATTTACATATAACTTTTTGTTTTTTAGAAAGCTTCAGTGACTTACTCCTTCAATCTATTCCACTTATTGAGAACTATAATATTGGAGAGTTTGTTTCTAACATCTATGTGAGCTATTTGTGTCTAGTGTCTTCCATCTGTGTCTCCTTGTTATGCTGTTCTTAGCTCTGAACCTGTGAGCTTTGACCTGTTCCTGCAGGAGATGTATCCGAGTCTGGTACGTATATCCGAGTCTGGTACGTATATCCGAGTCTGGTATATCCAGACGGAAGTGACCTTACGACCTGCTCAATAGCGACGATGACGACCCATACATTATTGTAATAAACCCGTAGCACTACAAGGTGTAAATAAACGACTCTTTTATTTTTCTTTGTTTTAATTATTGTTTAATCCATTCCAGTACTTTACCTTGTGTTCTCGGTGCTTGTAAGTTCCTCGCCAGTCTGTCATGAGGCAGAATTAAAAGCTGTAGAGAAGTGCAAGTATACACCGCGACTTACCAGAATATTTGCACTTATTCTGCAACTTCTTGACCGGAATAGCTAGTTACCGGGTCCATAAAGATGTTCAGGTCCATAAAGATGTTCAGGTTAGTAAAACAGGGTTTATTTTTAACAAGTTCCTGTTGAGTAGATTTACTAGTCTGCCCGCTGTGACCCCCAGCAAGCATGCACTCTGTGACCCCAGCAAGCATGCACTCTGAGACCCCAGCAAGCATGCACTCTGTGACCCCCAGCAAGCATGCACTCTGAGACCCCAGCAAGCATGCACGCTGTGACCCCAGCAAGCATGCACTCTGTGACCCCAGCAAGCATGCACTCTGTGACCCCAGCAAGCATGCACTCTGTGACCCCAGCAAGCATGCACTCTGTGACCCCCAGCAAGCATGCACTCTGTGACCCCCAGCAAGCATGCACTCTGAGACCCCAGCAAGCATGCACTCTGGGACCCCAACAAGCATGCACTCTGAGACCCCAGCAAGCATGCACTCTGGGACCCCAACAAGCATGCACTCTGGGACCCCAACAAGCATGCACTCTGAGACCCCCAGCAAGCATGCACTCTGGGACCCCAACAAGCATGCACTCTGTGACCCCAGCAAGCATGCACTCTGTGACCCCCATCAAGCATGCACTCTGAGACCCCAACAAGCATGCACTCTGTGACCCCCAGCAAGCATGCACTCTGTGACCCCCAGCAAGCATGCACTCTGTGACCCCCAGCAAGCATGCACTCTGAGACCCCAGCAAGCATGCACTCTGAGACCCCCAGCAAGCATGCACTCTGTGACCCCCAGCAAGCATGCACTCTGAGACCCCAGTAAGCATGCACTCTGAGACCCCAACAAGCATGCACTCTGGGACCCCCAGTAAGCATGCACTCTGTGACCCCCAGCAAGCATGCACTCTGAGACCCCAACAAGCATGCACTCTGAGACCCCAACAAGCATGCACTCTGAGACCCCAACAAGCATGCACTCTGTGACCCCAGCAAGCATGCACTCTGTGACCCCCAGCAAGCATGCACTCTGAGACCCCAACAAGCATGCACTCTGTGACCCCCAGCAAGCATGCACTCTGTGACCCCCAGCAAGCATGCACTCTGTGACCCCCAGCAAGCATGCACTCTGAGACCCCAACAAGAATGCACTCTGTGACCCCCAGCAAGCATGCACTCTGTGACCCCCAGCAAGCATGCACTCTGTGACCCCCAGCAAGCATGCACTCTGTGACCCAACAAGTTCCTCTTAGGAGGAACACCTCCGACACAAACAGATGCGACTGAAGGGTAAATAAGAGACACTATAATCACAGCGGCAAAGTGAGCCAGGGGCAAAAATTATAGTTCTTGTTGATGTTGATCACAGGGAGGAGCGCCAGACCAAGACGAAGGAGGACGAGAAGACGGGGTACAGGAGCGTCTCCACACCGAAGGAGGGAGGAGGCTGCGATGACCCGCGTCACCTCCTGGTGCTCCCCCAAAATGACGTTGGTGTCCTGAAGGGGAAGATGGGTGGGCAGGAGCCAGCGGTCAGCAAGGGGTATACTGTTTACAAAGACAGGTCAGGAGACACACTCCACACCTGCGGCTGCAGGAGGGTCACGCCCTACCTACAAGACGACCGGCGTGACAGGAGGCGAAGAAGGGCGGCAGAAGGCTAGAGGTGCACATCACCACTCCCTCAGATCTTGTCTAGAACACTCAAAAATCTCGAAAAATTAAAAAAAATATATAATATATATATATATATATATATATATATATATATATATATATATATATATATATATATATATATATATGTAGTCAAAATATTAACAAAAATCCATGGTGAGAGAAGAGGCAGCAGTCAGTAGAGGAGCAGTAGCAGTGAGGAGCCTTCCTTGCCACGTAGCAGAGACTGTAAACAAGAGAAGAATAACGGAGGACTTGGGAGAGGATAAACTTTGTAATGGGGAGTTAACACACATTTCTTGAGAGAAAGTGAGCAGGATGCGAGAGGAGAAAGACGGATGGGATGACTGCTCTTCCCTAGACTCTCAAAAACCTTCCGATACAAGTATTCACAAGACGCTGGTGTATAAGATGGAGAGAAAAGCTCACATAAGGGGAATTACAGTGAGACGCGTCAAGGAGTTATGTGACGAGAGAATCTATTCCTGTTATACGTGATTACCCTGGCCGAGAAAGGAAGGTCGTACGTGTTGAAGCTCGCACGTGACGCAAAACTGACGAGGAATGTAGAAGCCAAGGAGGTCTCTTGCTCTGTGAGAAGACAAATGTCTGTTAGGGGGGTAACTTATCTGGAGATCTTCTTCTTGTAACGCATCGTTACATCGTTCGGGTAACTCACACGTAAAAAGATTATACGGAGACGAGAAGACAGACCAGAAACATTCGACACCGTACGGAAAGATGGTGTTCAGTACCGCCCACAGGATAGGTATAGTGTTCAGCACCACCCACAGGATGGGTATGGTGTTCAGCACCACCCACAGGATGGGTATGGTGTCCAGCACCACCCACAGGATGGGTATGGTGTTCAGCACCACCCACAGGATGGGTATGGTGTCCAGCACCACCCACAGGATGGGTATGGTGTTCACCACCACCCACAGGATGGGTACGGTGTCCAGCACCACCCACAGGATGGGTATGGTGTCCAGCACCACCCACAGGATGGGTATGGTGTCCAGCACCACCCACAGGATGGGTATGGTGTCCAGCACCACCCACAGGATGGGTATGGTGTTCAGCACCACCCACAGGATGGGTACGGTGTCCAGCACCACCCACAGGATGGGTATGGTGTCCAGCACCACCCACAGGATGGGTATGGTGTTCAGCACCACCCACAGGATGGGTATGGTGTTCAGCACCACCCACAGGATGGGTATGGTGTTCAGCACCACCCACAGGATGGGTATGGTGTTCAGCACCACCCACAGGATGGGTATAGTGTTCAGCACCACCCACAGGATGGGTATGGTGTTCAGCACCACCCACAGGATGGGTATGGTGTCCAGCACCACCCACAGGATGGGTATGGTGTCCAGCACCACCCACAGGATGGGTATGGTGTTCAGCACCACCCACAGGATGGGTATGGTGTTCAGCACCACCCACAGGATGGGTATGGTGTCCAGCACCACCCACAGGATGGGTATGGTGTTCAGCACCACCCACAGGATGGGTATGGTGTGCAGCACCACCCACAGGATGGGTATGGTGTTCAGCACCACCCACAGGATGGGTACGGTGTCCAGCACCACCCACAGGATGGGTATGGTGTTCAGCACCACCCACAGGATGGGTATGGTGTTCAGCACCACCCACAGGATGGGTATGGTGTCCAGCACCACCCACAGGATGGGTACGGTGTCCAGCACCACCCACAGGATGGGTATGGTGTCCAGCACCACCCACAGGATGGGTACGGTGTCCAGCACCACCCACAGGATGGGTATGGTGTCCAGCACCACCCACAGGATGGGTATGGTGTCCAGCACCACCCACAGGATGGGTACGGTGTCCAGCACCACCCACAGGATGGGTATGGTGTCCAGCACCACCCACAGGATGGGTATGGTGTTCACCACCACCCACAGGATGGGTATGGTGTCCAGCACCACCCACAGGATGGGTATGGTGTCCAGCACCACCCACAGGATGGGTACGGTGTCCAGCACCACCCACAGGATGGGT